TTTGTACCGCTATTTTTTGTACATTATTCAAACATGGTGTAAACACGCCATGAACATTAACCTAGAATAAATTATAGTAATTTGATTTTTGTAGGTAAAAATAATATTATTATTTGCATATTATAAATATTTTTAGTTATATTATATTTTCAGTTTCATTTGACTTTCTGTATAATTCATGAATTATACGTTTTTAGTTGTTTTTATTCATTATTTGTTAAGCAAAAAATACCATTCATTTAACCATGAGTTTTATGCCAATAATACAGGTATACAATAAATTAAGAAGTGGCCAAAAAGCCACCATGACCGATTCATCAAAGTTATTACCATCATCGTCTTCAGGGGCAAATCAGCGGCCAAACTCATCTAGATTTCCACCATTAGTGTCGACACTACCGGTGCCTAACGGCCAGTCGGTTAGGCGTATTAGAAGCGCATCATTTGATAACTCATTCACCACTTTCGATGTGAATCGTGATAAACATTACGATAAAAATAATCACCGTGTTCGTAATAGAAGTGGCAAACATTTGTCACTTGATCTAGATCAACAATTAGATAGTAGTGAAGTGCTACAAACACTGACCGATATAACAATTAGTGGTGAAACTAATGCCAAACCAGAATATTCTGTGACACAAGAATATTCTGTTCACAACAACAACAAACTTAACGCTAATTATGATAACATGTATAGCAAACAAGATATAGCAGAAGTATACAAATTATTATTTATGAATAAAATTTTAATTATTTGTTATAAATAATTGTCTATTTTACAAATAGGATGAATTGGAGGCACTGGTGGACTACGATGACCCCTACCCGTCCACACAAACACTGGGCGACGAGTTTGTAAAATTAAAATCAGAGAACCGAGTGTTGAAACAAAACTTTATACAAATGACCAAGATGTTACAAAAACACTCGAGGTTAATGGCTCGCAAGGACGAGATTATACTAAAGTTGCAAGATCAGTTTGCCAGCAATCTTGGCCCTAATAATAACGGCATTAATTACAATCTTGGTAAACAATTGTCGGTAGAAAGTGATAATAGCGTTAATGACAACAATCATAACAATTGTATAGAAAGTAGTGGTGAAACACAAGTAGTGGTGAAAGATATCGATGTTTTTGTTGAGCAAAATTTGCGCCAATTTTACCACAAATCGCAAGAATTAGTGTCAAAAACGGCAAACTATAGCCATTTTGCGGATACAATGGCCACAGAGTTTGGCCGACAAGTGACTGAATGTCGGCGATTTGTCGATGAAATCAATAGATATCATAAAACTAATGGTGAGATTCTGGAGAAAAAAGTACAACAAACTCAACGAGAATCACAGGAACGGCACCAGAATCTGAGCGCAGAATATTCTGCACTACAAAATACGTGCGATATTCTTGTCCAACAGAATATCGCACTTAAATCACTGGTAAATACCATAACAAATACATTGTTGATTAATATATTGTTAATTTCATACAGAGTTGAGTTAAATAGAATTAAATAGTGAATAAATGTTTTAAATTCATATTGTTTTAATTTTTTCTTGTCAAATACAATAGTATTTTTATGATTATACATTATATAAATTATGCTACACTAAATTACATGTAGCATATTTATAAAATGCACTTTACAGATTTAATGGGACACCCGTTGTCAAATAATACGAGAATAATGTTATGTAAAATTTTTATGTTTGAAAGTACTACTTTATATAAACTGTAAATTTTTGTTTAACATTAAGCATTTATATGTGAAAAGCATTATTAGATTTAAGTTTGGGTCTCACGTATATCCCACACAATTATTTTTAAAAATCTTAGTAATTAATTATTTTTTTAACCAGTATAATGAATAAAAACATAATAAATGGGATGCTATAAATACAATCATTTCAAACAAACATTTTTAAACATATCTTTCATCATTGATATAAGCATTAAAAAGCATTATTATTACGAGTTTACTAATAAAATCAAACAAATTAATTAAGACTATTAATCCACAAACAGATTGACCACATCCACGACCTGTGCAACATCGACACGACATACGACGTGAACAAACCGGACTCAATCAATTCACTCAAGCAATTTCTCGGCAATCTATTCGCTCGACAGCGCCGGACGTCTACCGAAGCCGACGAACTCCGGCGCCGACTGTCCACCGAAGAGGACTGTCTGCTCGATCTGACCGAACTGTTGGCCGAGTGCGAGCTCGAGCTCGAGCTACTCGGCCGCACACCAGACACTATACAGCGTATTGTGGAAAAATTTACCGAGAGGTTTGATGCCGTGTACAACAGGCGCCAGACACAGTACTCGGCATATTTTGACTCGCTTAAAAGGGTACTGGTGCAACTCTATCGTAATCAGCGTAAATGGTGCCAAATTTACTATGATAATAATAATGGTGGTAATCTAGTAAGGCCTGGTTCGATGACCCGGATGCTGACCGATTCAAATGAGTCGGGCAATAGTACTGGTCCCGAGACCGGGGATGATGTTGGGAACCGGGAGTTGACTTCTAAGACTATGGGCAGTCATGAATATTCGGGTAATCGCATATCAAGTGATGGTTTGCCTGAAAGTTTTGAGAAATTGCCTGTAATTAGTGGTGATGGTAATGATGGCACTGATAATGATGATGATAGTAATGGATTTGAGCATAC